GAAGCCAGTGTTACAACAAAACAAAGTGTTACAGTAAGTACAGAAGCCAGTGTTACAACAAAACAAAATGCCACAGTAAGTACAAAACAAAGTGTTACAGTAAGTACAGAAGCCAGTGTTACAACAAAACAAAGTGTTACAGTAAGTACAGAAGCCAGTGTTACAACAAAACAAAGTGTTACAGTAACTACAGAAGCCAATGTTACAACAAAACAAAAGCTAACACATAATTAATTCAATAAAAGAAAAGAAAAGATTTACTAGAGTAAAAGATACAATTCAAATTTCACATGATAATGTTATAATGACATGACATATAGCTTCATGTATGTGTACGTTCACAGAATGTTAAATACATGAAGCTATATGTCATGTTATTAGTGTACGTTCACAGAATGTTATAATACGTCTAGTTATATAGCTTCATGTATGTGTACGTTCACAGAATGTTATAATGACATGACATATAGCTTCATGTATGTGTACGTTCACAGAATGTTATAATAACATGACATATAGCTTCATGTATGTGTACGTTCACAGAATGTTATAATACGTCTAGTTATATAGCTTCATGTATGTGTACGTTCACAGAATGTTATAATAACATGACACAAATACATACGTGCTACATCGTTTATAAATTCCCTGTACTACATCTGTTCATTGAAATTTTAAAGAATACAGCGAGCTTTCCACTGCTACATAAGTATGTTTATCCATCACACTTTCGTTGAGTCTCTTTCGTCATTATTTTCCCCATCTCTGAAAAAGCCCCATCCTGGAACACCGACAGTTTGTGCCCCACAAATTACAGCGGCACGAGGAGTTATAACAGCACTCGTCCGGTCGGTTGTCGCAGCTACTGCCTCGTCGAACACAGCCTCGCCTGACGGTGGAAAAAAAGGACTTCAAAATTCGTAACTTTTATACAAGACAGGATAGGACGGCTCAAAATTAGTACTATACTATCAGAACTCAATATTGCTACGCTAAAAACGTAACGTAATGAAAGCAAGTAAACCCTTTTTTATTCTAAGAAGAAGACAAAAACTATATACCATTACAGATCGCCCTCTATAGGTATATATGATATTTAATAACTCAAAATAAAGATGAATGAACTGAAGATTATTTTTTTCATTTCAAGAGATACTCTTTTGTTACATTAAAGTTGCCAACAATGATCCCATTATTTCCTTTCATTATTTATTTATTTATCCGCTAGAGAAGTTTAACGCCAACCAAAGCACTAGTTCTCCTCCCTAAAATTGTGGAGTCCTGTCATAGCACGTTTGTCAGTGCGCATTCCTTGATTTTGAACCACGAACCACAGGGAGGCAACCGACCGACAAAAACTACTTTTAATTTTGATATTATTATTATTATTACTAATTATCGCGTATCTTTTTATAATTACTTTTATTTTTAACACCAAGTAACCAATATAAATAAAATTATTTTGATTCTATTACTATTATTACTGTATGAGCTGCAAGAGCGTAAGCACAGACTCTGGTTTTTCCAGAAATATTAGATTAACACAACTTTCCGTCATACTTCTCAGATTAGTTGCGTTAATCCAAGTATTAAAAAAAAGGGTTGTTATTGGATTAAGAGCAACTGTAGTGTTGCGTAAGTGTTCTTACCGAAATAAAAACTTAATTTTGAGCTCGAGCGTTTTCGTTATACGTTACTTACATGCTTAAGTGGACCTATATTTCAAATCTGTATGTATGTTCACGTGTTTCCGTCTATCTGTTCAAAAGTGAACTGAAAGTCTCCATTCATAATGTTAACTTCGTTTTCAATAGGCACTTTACTGATAAGAATTTCTCCAGACCATGTCTATACATCTCATCACATTGTAAAGCATGTTCTGGTGCTTATTCACACACCCCAGGCTAAGTTCTTAACGATACGTCGCAATTGAATGAGGTACTCACAGTTCGGTAAAGTACGGTTTAGTTACAACATATTCAAATTACAGGGGAAGTGGCTCGAGATGTATCGTTTCTGATGTCAGTTTTTTTTACAAAAAAATTAATAGAAAAATATATTATATTCTACGAATCTTAGGGCACGTGCTTTAATGTAAGAAAGTACTTAAGCCTTTTTTTTTTCGTGATGTGACTCTTGTAATATACAGTTTGAGTATAGTGGTGGGTCGTCTTATACGCAAAATCTGTTGGCAAGTTGCCAACCAATAGAAGAATAATTTGTTTTTCATTGCATGCGGTTGGTTTGTCTCCAAAGCAATCCTTTTACTGCAATAAAATGTATAAAAATGATGGTCTGTACCGCTTGTTTTCTATTGTTTTATTTTTATCTCTTATTTTAATTTAAAATTTCCATTATGTTCACTCTTCTTATCTTATTAATTGCACAGTATATGATGGTCTTACTATTTAACTGGGGTGTTATTTTTATCTAATATCGCAGCACTACTGACTTAATAAGCGTCGGAACCGGGGGGGAGGGGAGATGGTGGGGACACGTGCCCTCCAATAAGTTAAGTTACGTCCGATTATCATTGGGCCCCCCATTATTTTGCTGACAACATTAAAACGAAAATTTAGGCTTCTTCTCTGCAATCGGCTGATTTTGCGTATCTTCACAATGCGTATATTGGTTA